ACAAGAGTGTCCCACAAGAGTGACCCACAAGAGTGTCCTACAAGAGTGTCCTACAAGAATGTCCCTTAAGAGTGTCCCACAAGAGTGTCCCACAAGAGTGTCCCACAAGAGTGTCCTACAAGAGTGTCGTGTAAGAGTGTCCCACAAGAGTGTTCTACAAGTGACCCACAAGAGTGTTCTACAAGAGTGTCCGACAAGAGTGTCCCACAACAGTGTCTATAAGAGTGTCCCACAAGATTTTCCACAAGAGTGTCCCACAAGAGTGTCCTACAAGAGTGTCGTGTAAGAGTGTCCCACAAGAGTGTCCTGCAAGTGACCCACAAGAGTGTTCTACAAGAGTGTCCCACAACAGTGTCCTATAAGAGTGTCCCACAAGATTTTCCTACAAGAGTGACCCACAAGAGTGTCCTACAAGAGTGTCCTACAAGAGTGTGCCACAAGAGTGTCCCACAAGAGTGCAAGTGACCCACAAGAGTGTCTCACAAGGTGTCCCACAAGAGTGTGCCACAAGAGTGTCCCACAAGAGTGTCCTACAAGAGTGTCACAAGAGTGTCCGTCCCACAAGAGTGTCCTAGAAGAGTGTCCCACAAGAGTGTCCCACAAGAGTGTCCCGCAGAGTGTCCCACAAGAGTGTCCTACAAGAGTGTCGTACAGAAGTGTCCTACAAGAGTGTCCCACAAGAGTGTCCCACAAGAGTGTCCTATAAGAGTGTCCCACAAGAGTGTCCCACAAGAGTGTCCTACAAGAGTGTCCTACAAGAGTGTCCCACAAGAGTGTCCTACAAGAGTGTCCTACAAGAGTGTCCCACAAGAGTGTCCTGCAAGTGACCCACAAGAGTGTTCCACAAGAGTGTCTCACAAGAGTGTCCCACAAGAGTGTCCTACAAGAGTGTCCCACAAAAGTGTCCCACAAGAGTGTCCCACAAGAGTGTCCCACAAGAGTGTCCCGCAGAGTGACCCACAAGAGTGTCCTACAAGAGTGTCGTACAGGAGTGTCCTACAAGAGTGTCCCACAAGAGTGTCCCACAAGAGTGTCCTACAAGAGTGTCCCACAAGAGTTTCCTACAAGAGTGGCCCACAAGAGTGTCCTACAGAGTGTCCCGCAAGAGTGTCCTACAAGAGTGTCCTTTGGACATATTAGTTTTTCGATCGTTTTTGCATTCGGGTTCGTGGGTTCCATCTTGTTTGTATTTGCTTTTCCTGTTGTTTTCGTTGCAGAGACGAAACCAAACAAGGAAGCAAGCAAGCAAGCAAGCGCGAGCTGCTCACCTTTGGATCTGGTGTGCTGCTGGGGGGGACGCTGTGCCCCCCCCAACCCCCCCCGCGCCACGAAATCTGCACTTCATCCCCGACACCCGCGCCTGCCACGAAATCAATATTTTAAGGTGATATGCCTCCTCTATCTATCTATCTATCTATCTAATCTAGTCTAGTCTAATCTAATCTAATCTATCTATCTATCCATTTATCTTTCTATCTTTCTATCTTTCTGCAGTTCAACATCCACAAAGTACTGCACCTGCCACGAAATCTGCACTTCAAGGTCCACAAAGTCTTGCGTCTGCCACGAAATCTGCACTCCAAGGCCCACAAAGTCCTGCACCTGCCACCAACTCTACACTTCCACACCCACAAAGTCCTGCATCTGCCACGAAATCTGCACTTCGAGGTCCACAAAGTCCTGCGCCTGCCACAAAATCTGCACTCCAAGGGCCACAAAGTACTACACCTGCCACGAAATCTGCACTTCAAGGCCCACAAAAAGTCCTGCGCCTGCGCCACAAACTCTGCACTCCAAGGCCCACAAAGTCCTGCACCTGCCACGAAGTGTGCTTTGCAAGGTCCACAAAGTACTGCACCTGCCACGAAACACGAAAAACAAAAAAATCACAAAAAAAACGAAAAAAATCCAGAAATATATTCGCAACCCTTGGCACTTGCAATCAGAAACAAAAACAAGCTCCCTCTCAGAGGTGTCGAGTGACATAGTGCGGAATCTTTATGATGTGGGCAACATGTGTAGCGGAGTGCGGTTGCTTGAAAGATTCAATGACAGGGAGCTTCGTTCCGCCCTTCCGCAAAGATAGCCGGAATGGGTGGCCGGTGGCCCAATCAGCAGCCAAATGTGGGAATGGATCGCAATATATTGGAGGTCAATGTTCTCATAGCTTGGACCTTTGGGACCTTCTAATTTTATATGATTCTAATTACACTTAATTCTAATTAAATTCTAATTTATATATTGTTTCTACTAGCTTCTTGTTCCTAGTAGTAAGGCCCTTGCTCCTAGTAGGGATGCCCTCTGCTCCTAGTAGCGTTATTGACCACATTAATAGTCAATGTTCTCATAGCTTGGACCTTTGGGATCTTTGGGGACCCCAACCGAGTACAGTGATTCCTCGCTTGGGCGCGAATACTCTCTCTCCGTCTCCTTCGGCGCGAACGGAGTTCGATCCATGACGGTCCGGTGTTCGTTTGTTTAGTCCGGTGAGAACGACATCGGACGTTGTCGCATTGGAGGCTCACAGCCTTTGCATTTGGCTGCATGGCCCACGCGGCAGTGGTAAAAGCCGGCTGATGTGGGGTGCCGAGAGGACTGAATCTTGTTCTGTGTGGTAATCATGCTTGACTTGCCAAAGGCGTGTTGCTGGTTCAACTGAGTGCTTGTACACAAAATGACTTGTTGGACAAGCTTTCAGCTGCAACAGCAGCAATTTGCTGTGTCCAGGAGCCAGAGCATGGCAGGTCTGCTGGCACGCATTATTTTCAAGACCTTGCAGGAGCATCATGTTTTCAGCGGGTGTTTTCAGAAAGGATTTTCCCTAAGGAAACAGTTCTGTTTTCAGCTAATATGTACGCAGATTTATGACTTATGAGAGTTCATCGGAGCGTTTGTCGCTTTCTTTCAACATCGATCATAATTCCAGGTACATCCAAAGACTGAGCTTCCAAGCTTCCTGAAAGGAGCTTCAGTTGCTCCCAATCAAGGAAAATGACGACCGCGTTTTGGTCACGCTGCAGTACCCTGGATCTAATCATTCTAATCCTTGATCCGTTTTCGTGACACCCAAACTTGTGAATTGGATCAATTCAACCTCAGGTTTTTAAAGTTTGGAGTGCAAACCGAGCTCTGCGGTGACTGCCTGGTTGGGCCCAACTTTGTCCACGCCTTGGTGGTCAACGGCAGGGATTTCCGCCGTCGGCCCTGTCGGCTGAAGCCAAGGACCCACGGCTGAAGCCGCGAGATGCCGCGCTGCAGGAGCATGGCTTTATCATGGAGGGTGCCGCTGAGCGAGAAGTCAGGTGCAGGGCGGCGCACATTTTGTGCACGAAAAGTGGAGACACCCCAAAAGTCCTGTGTTCAGAAGATTTCAGAACTTCTTTCTGACATGCCATGGAACAAGGTCTTTACTGGAAAAGCCACTACCTTGATGAATGTATAGCTCCAACGTTTCCTGGCGAGCTCCTTGTCATTGACATTGTGGTCCCTTCAAAGAAGGATTCTGGCCGCACAGGAATGCAATTATATAAAATCCTGTATTGGGGATTTTTGATTGTCTCGTCGAAAGTCTGAGGGAGTCTTCGCTGTAATTTCTCTCCAATCGGCCGAATTGTACGGTGTACTTGTCTCCAAGTTCATTCCAAGTATTGCGGCATAGTTCAGACCAAATCCAGGCTGTCGCAGGGCGAGTCGCAGCGATTTCATGGCTGCGTTTCAATCAGCGCAGGCATCCACAGGAGCTTCTCAGCGCACTGGAGCGGGGTGTGACCGCATTGCAATCGCCGGGCACGTTCCGCAGTGGCCGGCGCTGTGTGGAAGATGCGTTGGCCCATGGGCTTTGCACGCTTTTGGGCCAAAGAAGAGGTTGGAAATTGTTACGGGCTTCATTTTGGTCAGGTTCATGTTTATCGTGTCCACGTCAAGTTGATGCAAGCTTCATGTTTTCTTGGGTTCCTAATGATTCATGATCGTCATACTGAGTCAAGTTGGTGTTCTCAGCTTCCTCGCTCTGACAGCACACTTGTGGAGCCCCACTACGGGTGAGCGCTTTGCGGTTAAAGGCTTTGTAGCATGCTCATTTGCAAACATTGTGAAAGACTCAAGTGCAGAATGTGAAAGGAGATGAGTGCATGGGCAAGCTTGAATAGGCTAGGCTAGGTAAGATGCAAGCATCATGTTTGACCCTAGAGAAGGTGCAACATACACAGACCAGTTGGAACATCAGTGGACGCTTTGGACTTCTTGCATGACAAATTGATTAAATTGACGGATTGACTTTCTTAGGTGCAACAGTGTGCAACTGGTCTTCTTGCTTGTGTGTCTTAAGCCCATTTTGCAAAGTTGCTCCGTGCGAAGGGACTCGTGCTACTGAGGTTTCGTGTTCGACGACGTATTGGAACTGCTGCACCTTGACTGAGCATCCTAGCAATACAGTGCTTGGCCCATGCAAAGAGTTTACATTTGAGTACTGGCCAAAACAAGAACAAGTCATGAGTTAGCGCCAGCTAGCGCGCACAAACTTGGTTTCTCGAAAGCCATGCAGTCATGCAGGATTGCACAGACAATCTGTTTGTCAGGTGCTTGCCACCACCATTCACTTGCTGGATTTGGTTGGTGCAGAAATGTCCGGGGTGAAGGTCAACAAGAACACGCCCCACCAGGCCCGCCCGTTGCACACAGTTTTTGAAGATCAAATCTGAAGATCATATCGGAAGGACGGAAGAGATGACACGTGCGCCCAGCCAACAAGATGCGTTTCCTTGGCTGCTCAAAAATAGGATCAAGGGCACCGCGGATTCTAAGGTCCCAAAGCATATTTTGTGGGGGACCGGGCAACCCAAATTTTGGATCCCTATACCCGCCTTTGCGCAGGAGGACAAGACACTCAAAGCTGTCCTCAGGGTTGTAGATGCTTTGGCAGAGGACCCAGAATATCGTTTCAGAGCCTCAGCGAAATTTGGCTTTGGCTTTCTCAGTCTGTGTTTCCATTCACAGAGTGGCCTGCTATTGAGTATGTCTGCTATTGGCCTGCAGTCTTCTGGCATTTGCTGCTCAACCACAAAAGAGTCACTGCGCATAGACACTGTTTACTGTAGCAACCCCATGTCCATGGGTATTATGATTTTGCCGCGTATTGTACACAAGAGGGTGAACAACATGGACAGAGTTCACTCCACAAACAAGCCTCCTGCATTGGTCCCTTTCACCCAGAAGAACTCGTGAAACTCTTATGAACTGTGCACATTTGAAAGATCCGAGGAGATGGTCACACAGCCCCACGTTACATTCCCTATCGGGACTCCAAAGTCACGCGGCTGCTGCGGCCCTGCTTTGGTGGGTGGCCCGACATGCGAAGCAGAATAGGCGTCGTGAGAACAGCAAAGTTGTAAGCTGTAAAGGGCTGTAGAGCTCAAGAGCACACCAGGGTGTTGATGTTTCCAGAGTGTTTTGACCTGTTTTTGGCTTGACCAAGCACATGAAGTATGAGTATGAGGCCTGGACGTGCAGTGCTCTTCGGCCTCGCGGCCGAGGGCCATGATGCTATGCTGGCGACCTTGGAGTTAGCGCAAAGGAACGAACGCCAGCACACTCGCGAGAAGCTACAGAGATTTGTGTGTGGAGCTCAGACTGTCAGACTGGCAGAAGTAGAGATGCAGAGGATGAAAGAGAAAAGATGAGAGAAGGAAACTTTTGTGGGTTAGTTGGGTGAGGTTTTAGTTGCCAGTTTTTCGGCAGCTCTTCGAGCTCTGTTAAAATTGTTGCATTTTGCTGTTGAGTCAGTGCACACTTGAGAAAGGAAGATGGACAATGCTGTTTGAACGCCTCTTTCCGTCGAAACCTGCCAGCTTTGACCGGGAGACCAAGCTCCAGGAAATAGAGGCTGAGGCCAGACAAGGAATATGGGAAATGAAAGGGCTCAGCACCGAGAACAAAGTTTAAGAACTCAAGCATATGCCACTGCCAGAGCTTCCGTTCTTTTTGCATTTGGGGCCTGGCAGGTCTCCAAGCTTTGCGAGCACCTGGGTATTGCAAGCCCAGACAAGATGCAGCTGACCATGGAAGCGTATGGGCTCCCTAGACCTATTTTCCAGCCTTTTTTCAATATCGCTTCCAATCAATCTCTCGTTGTGAAGGGCTCCACAACTTGTATGCAACGCCAAGCCAATTTCCAAAAATGACACTCATGCATAGGAACGAGGACGCTAGCTACTAGGGGCTCCTGGCCTTACTACTAGGAGCAAGGATGTTACGAACGGAGCAAAGCGCATCGCAAAGGTGTCGATGTAACTATCCATGCAGGTCGATGCAGGTCGATGCATCGGTCCATGTTTGCTGAACCCGATCGCCGACCCAGGTCCCCGTCCGAAGAGGAGCTTCGCCTGGCGGAGCTGCTGCAGCTGCGGCGCCGTGTGGAGCAGTTCGAGGATTGGCAAAGGATCCGCCAGGCGCAGCCACAGTCGGCGCAGCCGAGACAAAAGCCTGGTGCAAACGCTTAGCATGTGTAAGTACTGTCTGCTTGAATATGGAAAAGTGGTCCGGTCTAATTCTTTCAACTCTTTTCAACTTTTGGACATTGTGTGTCAATCACCAATGATACTTCAGGAGGAAGAAAGTTTGGTAACAACTTCACTCCAGAATGTCATCGACATCACTTCTCTTTCCCAAATGGAATTCCGCCGGGTTAGTTTCCACCCCAAACTAAATTATGATTTACTTACTTCGGGGTGGAAACTAATCCGCCGGCATTCCACTGTGATCCCCGGCAGGATTCTACGGGGAAAGGGTTGTAGGTTACGTACTCACAAGCTTGTTAGCAACTTTTTTTGTCCTGGCTGTATTTACATACATATTATACCCAGAAATATACACCAGCATAGACCCAGATAGCGAGGCAGAATCCCACGACCTGTTGACATGCGACTGGCTGGAACAAGAATGTACGCAGCCTGTGCAGCCAGCTTACGACACCTGGCACAATCAGCTGACACCAGCGCCCGACCAGCGCCGCCGCCCGTCTTAAACGCGCTCTCAGCCAGCTCACAGCACCAGCACCCAGGCCCACAACACCAGCACCACCGACACCCTTTCGAAAGCGCGCGTGGCCAGCTCATTCTTATTTGCAGCACGAACCCCATAGCTATCCCTACTTGGGGAATAACAACGTATGATCTTGCGCGTGTAAGTTTACGCGCGCAAACAGCAAAGCCTGTAAGTGTCATTGGCCCAAGGCCAAGCAGTATCCAGCGCCACTATTGACTTTCTAGCGTGCTTGAAGCAACGATCTGCAGAAAGATAAGGCCGTATGATCTTGCGCGTATAAGTTTATGCGCACAAAAGTATGCGCGCAATCGGCAAAGCCCGTAGGCTTCACTCGCCCAAGGCCAAGGAGTATCCCCGCACACTGCCAGCTCACAGCGCCGGCGCCGGCGCCCGCTGTCTCTACCATGCGCACTGCCAGCGCCCAGCACCGGCACCGTGTCTCCACCACGCGTGCAGCCAGCTCACAGCACCCAGCACCAGCACCACAGCCCGCACCAGCACCTGGCGCCGGCACCCAGCGCTGGCGCCCTGTTTTCACCGAGCACCAGCACCGGCAACCTGTCTCGAAAGCGCGCGCAGGTAGCTCATTATTATTTGAAGTAAGAACCCCATAGCTTCGCTATCTGGACAAAAAAGATCGCCACATATATGCAAGCTACACCACCAGCACCAGCACCGGCGCCCCGCACCAGCACCAGCACCAGCGCCGGCGCCCGGCACCAGCGCGAGCGCCAGCAACCCGTCTCCACGTGCACAGCCAGCTCACAGCACCAGCACCAGCACCGGCGCCCGGCACCCAGCGCCAGCACCGGCACCCGACACCAGCACCAGCAACCTGTCGTGCACAGCCAGCCAGCGCCAGCACCAGCACCGGGGCCCGGCACCCAGCGCCAGCTCAGCACCAGCACCGCCGCCCGGCACCAGCACCAGCGCCTGTCTCCACCAAGTGCACAGCCAGCTCACAGCACCAGCACCAGCACCAGCGCCAGCGCCCGGCACCCAGCACCGCCGCCAGCGCCAGCAACCTGTCTCCACCATGTGCACAGCTACCGGCGCCCGACACCCACCACCAGCACCAGCAACCTGTCTCCACCACGTGCACCGCCAGCTCGCAGCACCAGCGCCGGCACCCGGCACCCAGCAACAGCACCGCTGCCCGGCACCAGAACCAGCAACCTGTCTCCGCCATGTGCACAGCCAGCTCACAGCACCAGCACCGGCGCCCGGCACCCAGCACCAGCACCAGCAACCTGTCTCCACCACGTGCCCAGCACCAGCACCGGCACCCGGCACCCAGCACCAGCACCGGCGCCCGGCACCAGCACCAGCACCAGCAACCTGTCTCCACCACGTGCACAGCCAGCTCACAGCACCAGCACCAGCGCCCGCACCAGCACTATCCAGCTCACAGCACCAGCACCGGCACCCAGCACCAGCAACCTGTCTCTGAAAGCGCGCACGGGCAATTCATTATTATTTGAAGTAAGAACATAGCTTCGCTATCTGGGGAAAAACATGAGGCAGTTTTGAGTGAGAAGGTCTCGTCGACGCAGTCTCGTGTCAGTTTAAGGTCTACCTTGCTCTGCCTTGGTGATCCTTGGTGTTCCAGTTCTTTGATATTCTTAGCTGGTTTTAGTGCTTGCACTGAGATATGGATGGGTTGACACATGTCGCTTCTTGTTGTTGTTGTTGTTGTCATTGTGGTTGTGGTCGTGGTTGTGGTTGTTGGTGTTGTTGTGGTTGTGGTTGTGGTTGTTGTGGTTGTTGTTGTGGTTGTTGTTGTTGTTGGTCTGTACGTCGTAGTAGTAGTAGTAGTAGTAGTAGCAGCAGTAGTAGTAGTAGTAATAGTAGTAGTAGTTGTTGTTGTTGTTTCTCAGACTCGCAAGGCTCTGAAAGCAATGGTGGTGTATGATGAGTGTTTCGGGTTTGCTTCCTGGATATGTAGAATAGGATCATCATTCCGGTTATCTCCTTATTTCCCCGGACAAATCCACGTCAATTTGAAGAGCCAAGCTCATGTACGTTGCGCTGAAATGTGAGAGGCATCTCGACATCTCTTTCCCAGTGAGGTGGGGGGACCCGTTTCTCGTGGTGTTTCTCGTCTACGTCTCCGTCGGTCGTGCCGAAAAAAGTTCACGGATGCCAAAGGGGTACCCTTTAGTTGACATGAACCGAGGGAAGGTTTGGCGAATCGGCCGAAGTCGATCTTTCGGATTCCTCTTCGGTGGTGGTTTGGTGAAGCGGTCAGTACCTATGATGCTAACTTGGAGATGATACTTATACAATCCAACCATGGTCCCAAACAAAGTGTCACCAGTGAAGGGCTTACCATGCGCTTGATTCATTCCGTCGGCCTGCACTGAAATGGAGTTCCGCACACTTGCCGGCGTCATGAGGTGAACAACATCTCGTGCGGGATGGAAGAGGAAAACTGGGGCACAACTGGAAGCCTCGGACAGCGCACTTTCTCGGGTGCTTTTCGTAGATGCACATCCATATAAAGCACACAACCTCTGACCCTTGAGCCCAAGTTCATTGTGTCTCTGTGAAATCTGCTTCCTGTGTCTCTTGGCTCGAAAGGCAAATGCCTCAGTAGACTCTTTATAGATATTGCTGAATTGCCGGCCTTTGTCCTTCCGAGCATGTGGCGGTCTGCAAGCACCTTGCCCAAAAGCCATTTCATCCAAGTGGCCTGCTTTGGTAAGTTTGCAAGAAAGCAAGCCACCAAGAATGGACCGTTGTAGGCCTACAATACTGTACGTGAATGTGATTTGTGGTGTAAAGAAAGTTTGGTAAAGACTCAAGAGAGTAAGTCCATTCCTTGCTTGTGCAGCAGTCTCAGGAGGAGCTTCGGGTCAAGCAGCTCGGCTCTGGCAGCAAGGTGCCACCCGTGGCTATTCAGGTGCCACCTGTGGGCTGTTTGCATCTGAGCTGCCGACACAAGACGAGAACTGGGGATTCCGAACATTGCCAAGATGAGATTCCCTATTTTTGTGATCGGAGGCTTTTCTGGTTTCTTCTCTTCCAATATACAGAGGCGTCATTGTGGGCGGCGGCGTGACGGGCTGTGCCATGCTCTACAACCTCGCAAAGCGAGGGGTGAAATGTGTGCTCTTTGAGAAGGTCGGCTGAGCTGGAGGGTGCTTTCTGATATTATTTTATGTTTGGAGCATCGCATTGCTAACATTGTTCGTTTTGATGTCGCTTTGGCCTCGCTGCACTCCTTCAGGGGGAGCTAACGTGCGGTGCCACTTGGCACGCGGCTGGACTTGTAACACGCTTTCACGGTGGTAACAACTTCCGGCTTTGGCATGACGAGGCCCGTGGATGCGGAGAATTTCGGGATGTGAAGAAGAAAGGAACGTATATATATATATAGGTTCAATTTGATGTTTCTTAGCTTCTTGGGTGATATGATTGACTTGATAACTTGAGGTTATCTCGCATGCATCACTTGGATTTTTTTGTTTTGTAACAGTAAGGGAACACGCCTTCCCACCAGGGCGTCAACCTCTTCTCCCAGTGGCAGGCAGAAGGCAGGAGGGTGGAGAACGATAAAATATGCTCAAGTAAGGGTCTTCCTGGAACAAATCGGGCGTGGTTTGCATGTATTGTCAATGCTCGCCATCCTTTTTTCGATTCAGACTGGCCCAGAAGGGTGATTGGCCGCAGGCACACCGTTGAGCTTCCACACACCGGGTTCCATCCGGCTGATCCCCAATCAGCCCGAGACTCAAGACCTGAACTGAAGGAAGCTTCTGAGAGACTGGAGAGTCTGGAAGCTTTGGAGTCCAGTATGTCCTGAGGCGGGACTACATAGATGAAGCCTCAGACTCGGCTCTTCCTGAAGAACACCATGATACTGAAGAAACCGTTTCTGACACTTGTGGTATATTCTTGAGGCGAAATACCAGGTGAGCAAAGCCAAGATCTTTTCGGGGCTTTTTGAATGTGAGCAGCATCATATGATCTCTGTGGATGAGATCAAGGAGTGCCCATCGTCTTGTTCAAGACATTTCACCCAGCGCATGACCGACATTGTTCAATTGAATTTGCAACTCGAGCCTCTTTCTGTGTTTTTTTGGCTCAACACCTAACAAAGTCACTTCCCCATTGAAAGACACGAGCGATCCCAAGAAGTCAGCCCGCAACGGGGCTCCGAACCGGGCCGGTCCGCGGTGGGCGTGGCACCGCCGGCGGTGGGCTGCGTTGGGCCCACATCACCGCAGCGAGAACAGTGGCAAAGGCCGAGCAGCATTTTTTGCTGATTTTTCAGCCAAGCAGACCAAGTGGACAAATGTCTGATCCCTCATTCTGCCACGCAGCCCGTCCAATTTGCTACTAAGGTCCTTCCTCCGCAGCCACCTAATTTGGAACAAAACCTTTCACTGTCGCCGCTCCACCGCTTGGAGACTATCAGCTTCGTCACCCGACGTTGCTTTAAGCTGGCCCGGTCCACCGGTCCACAAGAAGTATCGTGCAAGCTGCCCACGGTGGATCACTTTGGCGCCACACCCACAAGACAATCCAGTCCATGCCATTTTGCCAATGTTCACCTTACTTGATTCCATGTGCTTGAGTGCTTGAGGGAACTTAAAGAGCTTTCAGATAGGTCTCCCGGTTTTCCAACCATTCATCGTTGCAGAGTTCCTCCATGACCTCCTGAATTAAAACATCAGTTGACGAAACGTTCACCCAAGACGGTGTTTTTTTTGGGTTCTTGGGCTTTCTTTAGGCCATCCGTTCAAACAAACAGACTTGAGATGAGAGATGCTGAGAGGTTTCCCTTCAGGAGAAGCATCCGCTAGTGAACTTGGAAGACACGGGCATCTATGGCGGAATCTTCACTGAGGGCGACGGCCACATTGATCCCAGCAGTGTGACCAATGCCTTTGCGGATCGAGCCAAAGGTGGGGGATACGACAGGCCCAAAGGTTAGCATCCTGCGCATGCCATGCTCTCCAAAGGGTATGGACAGAGTGGGACATGGAGATCATTGCGAAGATGCTTTCATTCCTTCCTGTGGAGTACGCTTTTGATTTGACTTCACTGGACAGGCCTGGGCGGCACCATTGAGCAGAAGACAGAGGTCGTAGGCAAGTTGCAGAGTTTCCAAGTGTCGCAAGCATTGCAGAGCGACAGAAACGCTTCGTGGGGTTGCGCGCTTCGCTCCTGATGTTTTGGTACCATTGCTTTCTGCATGCTACTTAGCTACTTAGCTACTTCGTTCCAACTTCCGATTGAGATAGCAGCAGATAGCAGAGATTTTGTGAAACTACCTGGCCACCCCACTTCAATCAACTTGTCATTTTTCCAACTGCTCGAACACTTTGTTTGTTGACGAACACCGAACGCCTCAACATTCGAAGCATAATTCGCTTGGACTTGGCATTTTCAAGGCCTTAAGCTGCTACCCAGCCGCCAGTGGGAGGTCCTTACAAGAAGTGCGCGAGGCTTGGGGGGGAAGAAGCTTTGCGTTCGGGGCGGCATGTGTAGTTTGTTATGTTATATACTATATATATATATATAAATGTTGGGACACAGCTTTGAAGTGCCCTTGTTGTGAGAGGAATGGTGCTGAGAAGATTGAGCTGTGGGTATATAAACCTTGGACAGTTCCGACTCTTGGCCTCGGGCCTTGTAGTGCGGGGTAAAGAGGCGGATCCGCACCGATCACTTCACACCATTCCTTAGGTTCACATTGTTTCAGGTTCGCTCCTAAGGAGATGGGTCTTACTTCTTCACACAGGCACACCATCTCATGATGTTTCAACTCTCCCAGTCCACTTCCTC